AAAAACTAAACATGATGAACTGAAGTCAGCCTGAGCTACGGAAGCCAGAGAAATGCTTCCTTATAATAATATTTTATCCATAAACAGAACATTTCATTAATAGATTTTATCGATAAATCACACAGCCCTATGTGATTTATCGATAAAATCCTGAAATATATATGACATATTTGATATTATAAAATCTCTAAAGCAACTGTAATGAGAATGTTCCTCTATCTCTATAGAAATGCTGGAAGCTGATAATATTTCATCTTAGGACGTCGGATGAGGAGAACAAACAGAAAAAGAAGGTAGAATTTACTGAAGAAGCTATTATACAAGTAATTATTAGTTTTTAGGTTTAACAAAGGGCAATTTTAAAGGTAACAGGAAAATGACAACATATTTAGGTTAACATGTTCGACCAGAACCAGGGGAGGAAACGCACCTTCGTCCAATCAGCTGTGGCGCTCCTCGGCGCTTTTTGATGACGGTGACCTGCAGGACGTCTGTTTGCATCTCGCTCACAGATATTGCGTGTCTTAATGCACATTTAAGGTTCTCAACTCAAACATTAACGAGTCTTTGGGCTTCAAGAGATAAAATCAAATGAATTATTCAAAAGTAGCAAGAAATACAGCAAACTGCCTCCATTTGAATAAAAGCAGCGAAGCGAAAAGCAGCTAATGGAGAAATCTGTCCCGGGTCCCATTGCAGTTAAATGGATCAGCTTACATCCTCCTCAGACAATGGCACACAGAACGGTAGCATGTTTCATTTTTATCCAACAATGTTGAATAAAGCTAAGTGGGTGACAGATTGCTGTACGGGTACGGAGTGGAAGAGATGACAAATAATGAGATCAGTTTTCTGCAGAGTTCAGAGCAAAAGGCTGCAACAGCAGGTCAGTCCCACCTGCTTCTACCTGATCGATGTCTTCTATGTTTAGCTGCTTTGATCGCTGCTGGTTCTGGTTTATTTAGTGCAGAGGGAGCAAAAGAAAAAAAGAACAAAGAAGAGGAGGTGCAGCAATCAATCAGCCAGTTTCTCAGCTCCTTTTTGATCACCTCAATACCGATAACATCTACAAAGTTTTTGCTTTAACAAAGTTAAATTCATTAAACGGTCCTAAAATGCATTCAAATACATCTAAAGAAGCCACTTTCAGTATTTAGTGTAACTATAAGTATTTGTTCTGAGATAAAGGCTGAGTCAAAATAGGATTTTTCATAATTAATGTTTCTTACAGGACTGAAAAAGCCTGATATCTGTGGCTGAAGTTAACAGCCTCTGATTTAAAGCAACAAATCTCCTATAAGAGCTGAGAAATGTTTAGAGTCTTAATTTGATACCAACATGAAGAATTTTATTTTTTATAAATGTTTAAGTAAAATAGTAGCATTTAAAGAAAAAGTCCATTCAGCAAGGAATAATCAATGGATCATTATTTATATCTAAAATAATACGTTTACATTGATTTAATGAATTTACCGTTACGTAATTTACCTAGATCACTGTCTGGGAGCGGCCATTTTTGGCCAAATATAGTAACCCCTCCCTCCTGCCATCCTCCAGCAGTGACGTCACGGTGCGGTAAGCCTAGCGCCATTCTCCCCGCTTTCCAAGCTAAATCAATGGGAACTACTAGACACATCTGCAATCAACAACAATTATTGAAGATTTCCAGAGGACTTCACCATTGAAATTCACCAGAGCTATAGTGAAACTGACAATGCCCACGTGCATGGCAGCTGGATGCAGAGATGGCAAAAGTACTCACTTTCCGTAC